ATATATATATATATATATATATATATATACATACTATTTAAGTATTTAATCAGAAATTTATTCTTATTACTATTATTATTTCTCATGGGAAGGCACGTTTTCTTTAATAAGACTTTCTATTGCTCAAGCCGGTAGATGTCCATGTCGCTGTTTAAAAAAGACAAGCAAAGAAAAAAATTTGGATATCTATTTAACCTTGTGTACCTAGTAAATATTAAGAAAAATAAGTAATATCTAGTAAATAGTTATTTAATATATATATATATATATATATATATATATATATATATATATATATATGCTCAATATCAGGGTAGAGCGCATGTGAATATAAAAGTGAACATTGAAGTCAACACTCAGAGTCCACAGACTGTTTCATGCTAGACACAATCAACAGGCCTCATGTGTTTTTTCTCGACTATTTATATATGGGTATGGGTCAAGTTTAAATTTATATATATATATATATATATATATATATATATATATATATATGTCTGTGCAGGTGCAATGAATAATAATTATTATCTGTTTGCGCATATAAGAAATCTGCAAACAGCCAATAAATATATATAAATAAATAACATTTTTGGCCTCGTTACTTATAACTAAGTCTCATTTTCGCATCCATCTGTCATCCACAATAAATTTAAGCTGTTTCGTTCTTATTGTAAGTATATACTTGCCAAATCCCAGTCTTACGAACATCTCTCTTATTAATATTAATAATTTAAAAAGTAATTAGGCAGACTCTTATTTTATGTTAACTGGATTTTTTAGCGATTGCCTAAATCGGTTTTCGTCTTTTGATAATGTGCACCTAAAAATGGTGGTTTTATCGAAGTCGCCATAGCCTGTCACGTGATCGGTTCCCTGGAATCTTAGTATTTAAATGATGATCTGCAGATTAGTATAGATTGGTAGTCGACGGATGAAAGAGAAGGCATCTTGTTCGTGTGCATGGGATAAATGAGAAAACAGTTTCATCTTTTAGTACTAGATTCTGCATGACAAGCCATTTCGTCAAACCCTTTTTTTCCTGGCCTTGTTTAATATTTAGACCAAAGTCTAGTATTTGTTTCGATAGGCTTAATCTGATCTTAAAAACTCATCTCATGAACACAAACAATATTCCATCTACTCCACCGTCGACTACCAATCTATAATACTTACAGATCATCTTAAATGATCTTTTCATTTCTATATTCCCTTCGTTCTTTATTTTTTCTCACTGAAACCAAGTAGCGTCTTTTCCCCTCTTTTCACGCGATGAAAACTGTATAGTCGAACTAACGAAGAGAGGGACAAGAATGATTATAATAGGACTAGCAGCCATACCAAGCTGGTCGATCAAAAAAAGCGTTCAATTAGAATGGAGGAAAAACAGCATCATATTTACATGTAACTCACTTCTTCAATATCTTTAAAAAATATTTCAATAAAAAAAAGCATTTTGAATTAATGCAGTTACTGATATAACAGAAGTAGTCTGTATTTATTCATTCGAAGTTAGTTCATATCTATCTATCTATCTATCTATCTATCTATCTATCTCAGCCTATTCATATCTATCTATCTATCTATCTATCTATCTATCTATCTATCTCAGTCTGTTCATATCTATCTATCTATCTATCTATCTATCTCAGCCTATTCATATCTATCTATCTATCTATCTATCTATCTCAGTCTGTTCATATCTATCTATCTATCTATCTATCTATCTATCTATCTATCTATCTCAGCCTATTCATATCTATCTATCTATCTATCTATCTATCTATCTATCTATCTATCTATCTGTCTCAGTTTGTTCATTATCTATCTATCTATCTATCTATCTATCTATCTATCTATCTATCTATCTATCTATCTCAGTCTGTTCATATCTGTCTATCTTCTCGGTCTTTGAGCTAAGATCAAAATGTAGTATCTTTTTTTTTCAGCTTAATCTAAGTATCTCTAGATATGCACAAACTGAAATAGATAGATAGATAGATTGACTGAGAATAGATAGATAGATAAATAGATATGCACAGACTTTCTTTATTCATTTATTTATTTGTTCCTTTCCTTCTTTTTCTTTTTCCTTCTGCTTTTCTTTCGCTTTTCATTTCTCTCTCTCTCTCTCTCTCTCTCTCTCTCTCTCTCTCTCTCTCTCTCTTTTTATAACTTTTTACCTTCATGCCTTACTTTTTTCTTTTTATCCACTGGCCATTTTCCTTCATATTTCCATCTTTTCAATTTTTCTTCCTTTCTCTTGCTTTTTCGCTTCTTTCGACTAATAAGCATTAATGTTGCCTCAACTTTTCACCCAGTCTCTCTTCATGTTTTACCTACTGCTTCTCAACTTCTCGCTGCACTAAACCGCCCCGTAACCTCACCCATCTCAATGCGTACGCACTCCTCCACCAACCGCCCCCGCAAACGACCCCTTTCTCTATTGACTGTCCACATGGTCGTTTCGTTCCATTTTCCTCGTGCGACCATCTGCACTTAGCGCAGTTCTCACGTCCTGGAACAATAACCGCGTCACATGGACCCAGGCCGACGTTCCCTCCCACACTCTCTCTTTCTCTGTTTCTGTCTCTCGGGGCCCCCGATGACTTTTCTTTTTTTTTTTTCTTTTTCTTTTTTTTTTTTTTTTCATTCACGCGTAGCTGTGTTTACCAAGCAGACTCTCATGCCCGACCGACAACAGCCGGTTTACGGGATCTCCTTCGCCCCGTTTATTGTAGACACTCCCAACCCTCGCCGCCAATCAGGTGTACCTCTTCCATTTATATGATCATCGGGGTCTGCGCGCAACACGTGTAAATAATCCCACAAAGAAAACCCCAGTTAATTTCGCTTTTGTTCTTCATTTTTGCAGTCGCTCGCCTACCTCTTTATTCAGTTCAACAAACTCTCTCACTCTCTCTATCTGCTTTGTCTTTCTTTCCTCTGTCTTCTCCTCCCTCTTATCCCTTCTCTTTCAAGTTCTGCATTTCTTTATTTCTAGCTTTATTTTTAAAATTACACATACGTTTTCTCTCTCTCTTTCTCTCTCGCTGTCATCTGCTACCCTCATTCATTACTTCGCATTCGCTTTCCTTGTTGATTTTTTTCTTCTTTTACCTTTGATATATTAATCTTTCTATATTTCTCACATTTTTTTATCTTTCTATCTCCTCTCTGTCTCTGGTTGTTTTTTTTGTTTTTTTATTTAATTTCTTTTTCTCTTTATTCTTAATCTTTCCCTCTCTTCCTCCTTCCTTCTCTTTCATATTTTTGTATTCTTGTCTCTCTTTCATTCTCTCTCCGTACTCAGTCCTTATCTTTTTTTTTCTCTCTTTGTCTTTCTATTTTTCTTTCTTTAGCCCTGAAAAACTTTTTCTCCCCCCCCCTCTCTCTCTGTTTATTTTCCTCTACTCCTTCTCTCTGGTTGCTTATTCTCTTTTCTTTAATTTCTTTATATATTCCTCTCCTTTTTCTATCCCTCTATCTTTCTCCCCTCTTTCCTTCACTTTCATATTCTTATTTACTGTCTTTCATATTTCCTCTCTCTTATTCGTTCTACCCACTCATCCAGTCTCTTTCTTTTTTTTTTCTTAATTTTTCTCCCAATTTCTTTGTCGATTTTTCTTTCTTCACCTCTGACATATTTATTTTATTTCTCATTCTCTTTCTGGCCCTCTATTGCCTCTCTTAATCTAAAAAAAAATATCTAAAATCCTCCTCTCTTTTTACTCACTGTCTCTTTTTCCTTGTCTATTTTCTTTTTTTAGCACTGATATTCTCTCTCTCTCTCTCACTCACTCACCATCCTCGTTTTAACTTTCTCTACTTTTTTCTGTTACCCTCTTTGTAGCTTACACGTTGCTCCCTCTAATCTCCCCATGTCGCTCTTTTTTTTTCCTCGTTGTCTATTTTCATTCAATAATTTCTTTATTCCTCTTTCCCCACCCTCTCTCTCTCTCTTTCCCTTTTATTCCTTCGTGTTCTTTATTTCTAACACTTCCCCTCTCTTTCTCCATTTTTCTACCCACTTATTCTTCCTCTTTATTTCTTTCTCTTTCCTCATATATTTTTATTTCTCAAACCTTGGCATCTGTTTTTCATTCTCTTCCCCCCACCCTCCACTTCTATGTATATATTTCTTTCTCGGTATATTTTCTCTTTGTACTTCTGATATTGATCTCACTAAAATGCTCACTCACTCTCTCTAACACACACACTTTCTCTCTTACTCACTCACTCCTTGGTTCATTCACTGATTTCTTTGATTGTCTCTCCTCTTTCTTGCTATCTCTTTACACACACACACACACACACACACACACACACACAGGCATATATGTATCTTCTGCTAATACGTTATTTTTTATAGATATAATTTATTTAAGTAAATGCTCTGCTTTTTAATTAAACAGTATTAATTACATTTACCTGCCTGAAATCTCGAGAAAATTTGTAGAAAATATGCGTACTCCGATAGGAATCGAACCTGTAACCCTAACGGCAACTGTCATAAACAGAAAATATATTAAATAATTTTCGAACTTAATCCATTTCATAATATGTTGTCATTTTTTACGTTAAGATTCGTTTCGTAAACAAAAAAGACCGATCAAGAAAAATCATCGAAGGTGTTTGTTTATAAACAGTAATTCGGACTTTGCTAACCACATGCCTCTCTGTGGTTGGATGGTTAACAGCATGTCAGATCAAATGACGGTTCCCATTAGGGGTTTCAGGTTCGATTCATATCGGAAAGCGCATATTTTCTACGAAATTTCTCGAACATTCAAGCCAGTAAATGCAATTGATACTGTTTAAATAAAAATAAAATAATAGAGCATTTACTTAAATAAATTACATCTATAGAAATAACGTATAAACAGAAAATATATTAAATAATTGTCAGACTTAATCTCTATCTATAAAAGGCAGGATGTGTGTGTGTAACGAATGCACGGCCGCAATTTTCGACGGATTTGCACCAAAATTTACATGTACATGCTCCAAGTTAGCGAGAAGGCCAAGACCAACGTTGCATTTCCCAACTCCCACCGATAGTCGAAATAATCGAATTTTTCATGCTTCTACGGCAGTTTTCATGGAGTTTGCGACCATTTTCTACTGGCCAGAGAGAGAGCCTATAGCTGGCTGCTATGAATAGTCAGGAAGATTCTATTGGCCAGCGTGAGAGCCAACAGCTGATTGACACGAATGTTAACTAGCATGCTAGCATGCAAAAAAAATCGATAGCTGCATTCGTCACAAGTGGTAAAAATTTAAATCTGCATGGCACTTTACTCCAATTGGCTCATTCGCTTGCTTAAACTCAACGTTGATTCTGATTCCGCAGAACTGGGTTGGGTGTGAAAAAGTATTTGTTGTTAATATTTTTTTTCATTCAGTTTTTCCAGTTACGAGTCTTTTTTTTTTAAAGCTGATCGTTTTGTGTTCATTTTGTTTAGTTCTTTTTTCGTAACAGATTTAATGTTTAGTATAGAGCTTAGAAAAAATTCACAGTGTGAGATAGGCAAGAAGTAAGGCATGTAGCAACATCAGCACGGCAAAGGGCACTCCTTTAAACTCAAGGAAGGGCAAAAATATTATAAGTCAAGTGATAGCGATTGCTGTATGAGTCGTACGATATTTGAATCAAGCACGGGCAACGCCGGGCCATGCTGCTAGTCTATTTCATATTATGTTGACATATACCGTATTTTCCGGCTTACAAGACGCACTTTTGTTCCTGAAAAATACGTGTGCGTCTTCCAAAACGAATTTAAGGCAATGCCCAGGCTAAAGTAAGTTTGGACGGTCAACTAATTGACTTGACTGATAGGGACGTGGATTTGTATGCTGAGTCATTACACTATAATGTTAGCTATCTATCTAATTCAGCCTTTTATATGATGTAAACTCGGTACTTACCTGTTACAAATATTTTCACGACTATAAGCCTACCTGGTGCCGAGCCACAAACTTAAACATATCCTGTTTACTAGCAGCTACGGGAGCGTTTCTACTCTTGTCTAGTATGTCATTGCCATACAAACAAAATCGGATGAGTGATTAATGTAGACAATACGTGGCGCCAGTATGTGAAGGACGCGTGGTTAATACGTTGTTGTATGAGAATTACTTTTTTATTTCTTAGAAATTTCTTTCCAATATTAGTATGCGCCTTTCAAGCCGCAGCGACTTGTAAGCCGGAAAATACATATATATATATATATATATATATATATATATATATATATATATATATATATATATATAAAAATTTATGTTGTGTGTGTGTGTGTGTGTGTGTGTGTGTGTGTGTGTGTATAAATATTTTCAGTTGGGTGTATCTATAGAAGAGACTTCTAGTAGAGGCCGGCGTTGCCGGGGATATAACAATAAACAGATAGATCAAGTACCGACCATCATAAAGACTGAAAAATAAAATTGACAAAGATTGTTGTTTAAGGTTGACGGACACGCATGTCGTAATTAGTTTTTATTTTTTTTTTTTTTTACGAATTGGTCAAACCTAAACTCAAACAAAACATTGTTTTCAATCGTTATGAGTCTCCCGATTGAATAAATTTTATTATAAACAATTGTCTTGTAAATGGAATTTTTAAAGCATTCTGAATATTAAAAATAGAGAAAAAAAGTGTGCAAGAGAATAAAAAATACTACCTGCCAAAAAAAAAAGTGAATTTTTGTTTTATCGGCTGAAAATGTAGGAAATCCGATCCCATATATAAAAGGAATACACACACAAAACAACCTGGGTTTTTAATCGGATGTGAGTTTTTCCCCTTTCATTCTCAAAAGGTCTCTTAATCGTGTTTTCAAATTGATTTTTGCAAAAAACAATTGTATTTTCCCATTTTTGGCGTTGTTAGAACCACCACAATGTAATTTAATGTAGTCCTGTGATGTTTTGTTGAAATCATTGAAACATGTAAAATCCTATCCAATATATAAACGTAAACACACAAACACACACACACGTTTGACACACACACACACACACACACACACACACACACACACACACAATCTGCGTTTTATAATAAGTAAGATAACATATTACAAGAGGAAAAACTATTCTTAAATGACGCGTTTCGTCCTCTTACTGACTTCACCAGACATTTCTCATTCCCTCAGAGGACGAAACGCATCGGCTAAGTATAGTCTTTTTTCATATATATATATATATATATATATATATATATATATATATTTCATAATACGTGACGTCATTTGTTTACATTTGGATACGCTTTGAGCAGATATGAATGTACGTGAGAGATTCATGGAAGATTCAAGTTTAAAAGCAGAAAAATCGACCTTGCCAATTGAACGATTCTCTGTGGCTCAATCGGTTAAGGTACGTCAGGCTAAATGACGGTTCCATATAGAATACAGGTTCGATTTCTGTCGGAGAACGAATATCTTCTATGAAAATTTCCCGGACGTTCAGGCCGGTAAATGTTATTAATACTGTTTATT